GCCTATTCTGCGCGAAGATGTCCATTGCTTTGACGACATCAACTGCTATCCGCTGGCCTTCGGTGTGCCCGCAGTCCTCATGATTGTCTCGGTGGTGATCTTTGTGCTGGGCCGGCCGCTCTACAAGATCAAGCCACCAGCGGGCAACATGGTGGTGCTGGTGAGCAGCACCATCTGGACGGCCCTGACCACCAAGTGCAAGGAGAAGAAGACCAATCCGCGCGAACACTGGCTCGACTATGCGGACAAGAAGTACGATCGCCAGATGATCGACGACGTCAAGGTTCTGATGCGTGTCCTGTTCCTCTATTTGCCGTTGCCCATCTTCTGGGCACTGTTCGATCAGCAGGGCTCCCGCTGGACCTTCCAGGCGACGCGCATGGACGGCGACATGGGCTCCTGGGACCTGAAGCCAGATCAGCTGCAAGTGCTAAATCCTCTGCTCATTCTGGTTTTTATACCCTTGTACGATGTTGCGTTCTATCCGGTGCTGCGCCTGATCGGCATACGTCGACCGCTGCAGAAGCTCACCATGGGCGGCGTCCTGGCCGGCATCGCGTTCATCATATCGGGCATTGTGGAGCTCAATCTTGAGGTGAGTTTCAGTTGTTGTCGTCGTTGTCGCTGTTGGCTTCTTTTTTTTACTTTAATTGCACCAAATTGCACCAACTGTTTCTCTACCTTTCGCTCTCTCCCCCGCTCTCTTTCCCGCTGCCTCCTTCCCACCCACCCTCGCTCTCCAACTGTTCTCTCCTCTATTGGAACGACTCGGTTGTCGCTGTAGAAAACCTATCCCGCATTACCCTACAGCCAGAATGCGCAGCTGCGCGTCTTCAACACCGAACCCTGCGCCTACAACTTCGCCACGAACATCGACACGCTGCAAACCTTCACCGTGGAGCCGTACAGCATGTTCACGGACAAGAATGTGTTTGTGCCCGGCACTTTCACTTTGGAGTATACGATCGCCAGCACGGATCCCGCTTGCCATGCCTATGAAGGCGGCAGCCCATTTACCATCACGGAAAAGAAGGCCTGGTCTCTGTTTCTGAATGCACAAAACACTACAGGCGAAACCTTCTGGGAGGAGGACTTTGTGAACAAACCCTCCGACAGTTATCCGCTGATCCGAATCGTTGGCAACATGCAGCAACAGCGACAGATTGTATTGAAGAGCAGTAAGGAGAGCTACGAGTACAATGCTAACGAGACCTACCGTCTGCGCGTCTCCTCCGGCAACTACGAGATCTCCATCGATGGCCAGCCGTTGGGTACGGTGCACGCGCACACCGGTGGCGTCTATACCCTGCTCCTGCACGAGCTTGCAGCCGGCGGGTATAACTACAAGCTGATCGAGGTCACCGAGCCCAACTCGATGAACATCCTGTGGCTAATACCACAGTATGTGGTCATGACTTTGGGCGAGGTCATGTTCTCCGTGACGGGCCTGGAGTTCTCCTATGCGCAGGCGCCGCCCAGCATGAAGTCCGTGCTGCAGGCCTGCTGGCTACTGACGGTCGCCTTTGGTAATGTGATTGTGGTAATCATTGCGGAGGCGGCGCTCTTCGACTCGCAAGCAAGCGAGTTCTTCCTGTTCGCGGGCCTCATGTTTATCGACATGCTGCTCTTCATGTTCATGGCCTACAACTACAAGCCGAACGATCCCAACCAGGTCGAGGAGGCTGAGCCTCTAACCAACGGCGACGACAGTCGTCAGATTAAGGCTCTCGAGACGGGCATCGACAACAAGGGCAAGGAGATCGATGGCTAGGCTGGTACACGCCTCCTCCTGGGACACGCCGCCCCCCTCAAATGTTGTGTATTATATATAAATGAAGAAAACACCCCCGCCCCCCTCCTATGATAATTCATATATGTACTTTGTGTCCATTTACAATGTAAGTGTAAAACCCTGCCCGGGTCAACGATCGGACCCAGAGATCGACGGGACGGGCCTTGTTGAATATGCCAAGACATACGTTTTAACTAAACTAATCTTATACAAATAAATCAAAAATTGTAATCATAGTTGTTTGCGTGTGTTTGTCTTTATCTTCCCCTCGCTCTCTCTCTCTCTCTCTCTCTCTCTCTCTCTCTCTCTGCTATTCTCTGGCTCTTCTCTATCTTATCAGCACCTCAATCCTATCTCACATTTCCTATGTCCCCTTTCCTATCTGCACCCTGCCCAGCGCCCAAGATAACAGTTTTCCAAATCTCCCAAGCTTCCAGTGCGTAGCCAAGGTAGGTGTACAGTGCACGCTTGAGCGGACAGCCACGGTTCTAATACCGTCTACTGTCCGCCGAATAGAATATGTGCAGGTATACATATTTACATCTTCATATATATATCTATATATATTAGCTGTTTGTCCTGACTGAATGACTGACTGACTGATTGATTGACGGACGGACTGGGTAACTGACTGAATGACTGATTGACGGACTGTCTGACTGACGGACTGACTCTATGATTGACTGATTGACGGAGTGACTGATAATTGACTGACCGACTGACTGGCTGACTGACTGACTGATTGACTGACTGACAGACTGGGTAACTGACTGAATGACTGATTGACGGACTGTCTGACTGACGGACTGACTCTATGATTGACGGAGTGACTGATAATTGACTGACCGACTGACTGGCTGACTGACTGACTGATTGACTGACTGACAGACTGGGTAACTGACTGAATGACTGATTGACGGACTGTCTGACTGACGGACTGACTCTATGATTGACTGATTGACGGAGTGACTGATAATTGACTGACCGACTGACTGGCTGACTGACTGACTGATTGACTGACTGACTGATTGACTGACTGACTTATTAATTGACTGACTGACTGACTGACTGATTGATTGACTGACTGACAGACTGGGTAACTGACTGAATGACTGATTGAGGGACTGTCTGAATGACTGACTGACTGATTGATTGACTGACTGACGGACTGAATGTCTGACTGATTGACTGACTAACTGATCGACGGGCTGACTGACGGACTGGTTAACTGACTGAATGACTGATTGACGGACTGTCTGACTGACGGACTGACTGTATGATTGGTTGATTGATGGAGTGACTGGCTGACTGACTGACTGATTGATTGACTGACTGACGGACTGGTTAACTGACTGAATGACTGTTTGACGGACTGTCTGACTAACGGACTGACTGTATGATTGACTGATTGACGGAGTGACTCACTGGCTGACTGACTGACTGACTGATTGACTGACTGACTTATTAATTGACTCACTGACTGACTGATTGCTGATTAAGTGTATGCTAAGACGGGCTTTTGGGAAATTCCACACGCAATTTTCCAATGGTATCCAATCACTATGACGATTATATTAAGAAACTTTTCACACTTACCGCAAAGTCCGCAACTCAAGGTGGATTTGAAATGTAGTAAACGATTTGCTGGCTGTGGAAGGCATTCGCTCAAGCGAGCTTTCACTGTAGCTAGTCCGATTTTGCAGCGCACCTATCCGGTTTTGCCAGGCGCAGGCAGCACCCAGCTGCGCATCTTCAGCGGGATACCCGGCTGCGATTACCGGGTGAGCAGCAACCTGGCAGCCGGAAGCAACTTTACCCTGACTGGGATCGACTTTTATGCCAGCGGCAACGTGGCCACTAGCAATGGCAGCTTCACGCTGAGCTACGGCATAGAAAGTCTGACGGCAGGTGAGTTGGCCAAAAGTGGAGGCCCGAGTTGAGCGAAAGTGATCCATGGCAGTTGCCATTGCTTGCAGGCTGTCCCAGGCTGGACGGTGGCACCCAGCTCCTGTACGAGGCGACGGCCCACACGCTCTTTCTGCGCTCCGCGCAGACCGTGACCAAGCTCTGGTACGTGGACGAGCTGCAGAAGTCAAACAAGTCGCTAGCGCTCGCGCGCACGCTGGCCAACTTGCCGGCCAGCACGCGTATCCAGTGGAGGGAGGTGAAAACCGGAAATACGGCGCTGGAGCTGCAGGCACGCAGCCACGATCTGCACGAGCTGAGCACCATTGAGTACGAGGTGCTAACGGGCGAGGTGCTGCTCGATTGCCAGCTGCTGCGCCCAGGCGGCGTCTACGCTCTGGTCATTGGCCAGGACAGTGAGGGCTTCGTGTCGCGCATGTTCGAGGTCACCGAGCCCAACTCGATGAGCATGCTGTGGCTAATACCACAGTATGTGGTCATGACTTTGGGCGAGGTCATGTTCTCCGTGACGGGCCTGGAGTTCTCCTACTCGCAGGCGCCGCCCAGCATGAAATCGCTGCTGCAGGCCTTCTGGCTGCTCACCGTGGCCTTTGGCAATGTCATCGTCGTCGTGGTTGCCGAGCTCAAGTTCTTTGAGTCGCAGGCAAGTGAGTTTTTCCTGTTCGCCGGCCTCATGTTTGTCGACATGCTCATATTTATGTGGTTCGCCTTCTACTACATCAGCTATGACGAGGCTGCGGCTCTGGAGCAGAATAAGCGCAGATTCAAAGGGCGAAAAAATCGAAAATGTCATTAGATATAACATGCATATAAGATAGCATCACGTATTTTATCTACATTTATTTATCTACATTTATTTATTTAAATTTGAAATTAAAACCGCTTTTGTGTAGTATTAAATTCAAATTTACCGCCATTTTAGTGTAACCGTAGAGCGCAAAAAAGAAAATATATTATAGACACACGCACTTTACTATTCAAATGTCAACATATATAAATATTCGGTGAAGTATTCAAATAGCGTGTCTGACTGCATTCTAAGCCCTAAAAGTATTCAATCTATTTTCATATAAATAAAACTGATATATAACAACTTATTTGCTTACAATTCAAACTTGGCGCCAATTCAATGTGACCGTAGTCAAAATATATTACCGACTGCATGTACATGGCCAGGGCTGGATAACGCTGCGCCACGAGCTGCGCGCACACAGGTTGGCAGCATTGTTGGTCATTTGACGTTGGTCATTTTTAGCGCTTTTTTCGCTGACGGTGAAAAAAACGAACAAGAAGAAGAACAGTTGCAATCATATGACTTGTCGATCGATAGAGAAATAATAAAGGTTGCAATTTCGTGAACGCTGCTACGTTGGAAAAGTTAATTTCCATTTAACTCAAACAGCCGAACGAGTGACAAACTGTGACCAGCAGCCAACTCTTTTAAGCCACCACCAACAAGAGTTGAAGCGAATTACCAACCTTCTCACACTCTCTCTCTCTCTCCCACCCTCTGCGTGCGTTTGTGTGTGTGTGTGCGTAAGTCACAATAATGGACAGCTCGGGATTCATGTTCAACGTCGACAATGGGTATTTGGAGGGCCTGTGCCGCGGCTTCAAGTGCGGCATACTGAAGCAGGCGGACTACCTAAACCTGGTGCAGTGCGAGACCTTGGAGGGTAAGTTCCACTCCCAGTTCCAGTGGCCTCTGGCTGGTGCACGCCCGCTCGGTCACATGACTAAATCAAGCACTGCTATCAGCTTGTCTGTGTGTGCGTGTGTATGCTTGTGCGTGTGTGTGTTTGATTGTGTGCGTAAGCTTGCCTTGTGATTTGTTGTCATACTACCCTGTTATCATGCTGAAAAGCGAGTATATTGGGTTTAAACCGTTTTCACGTATATTAACTTTTTGTTGAACTTCAGATCTGAAGCTGCATCTGCAGGGCACGGACTATGGCAGCTTTCTGGCCAACGAGCCGTCGCCGTTGTCGGTGTCCGTGATCGATGACAAGCTGCGCGAGAAGCTGGTAATTGAGTTCCAGCATATGCGCAACCATGCGGTGGAGCCGTTGTCCAATTTCTTGGACTTTATCACGTACGGCTATATGATCGATAATATTATATTGTTGATCACGGGCACGCTGCACCAGCGTCCCATTTCGGAGCTGATACCCAAATGCCATCCGCTGGGCAGCTTCGAGCAGATGGAGGCGATACATGTGGCATCCACGCCCGCTGAGCTCTACAATGCCGTGCTGGTGGATACGCCGCTGGCGCCGTTCTTTGTTGATTGCATTTCCGAGCAGGATCTGGACGAGATGAACATTGAGATCATTCGCAATACCCTGTACAAAGCCTACTTGGAGGCCTTCTACAACTTCTGCAAGAACATGGGCGGCTCCACCGCCGATGTCATGTGCGAGATTCTGGCCGTAAGTTTATATACTTAGATCCGGCATCGAGTCAATCGATTCCCAACCGATCAACTCGAACCGGGTTGAGCTAAGCTTCAATGCAATTCTTCGGCTCGACGGAATAGCTGACTGAATCAATTAACCGATGTCCGGCTTTAGTCTAAATGATGTCCATGTTATTTATATATTAATTCTTATGCTTCTTTAGTTCGAGGCCGATCGTCGCGCCATCATCATAACGATCAACTCGTTCGGCACGGAGCTCTCCAAGGATGATCGCGCCAAGCTGTATCCCAACTGCGGCAAGATGTATCCTGATGGGCTGGCCGCATTGGCGCGCGCCGACGATTACGAACAGGTGAAGACCGTCGCCGAGTACTATGCGGAGTATGCGGCGCTGTTCGATGGATCCGGCAACAATCCGGGCGATAAGACGCTGGAGGACAAGTTTTTCGAGCACGAGGTGAAGCTGAACGTGTTCGCGTTCTTGCAGCAATTCCACTTTGGTGTCTTCTATGCGTACCTAAAGCTCAAGGAGCAGGAGTGCCGCAACATTGTCTGGATTGCCGAGTGCGTCGCCCAGAAGCATCGCGCCAAGATCGACAACTACATACCCATATTCTAAGCCACCTTTCACGTGATCGGCGGCCCCCACAACACATATAATAATTTTTCTTTCGTGTCGTTTAGCATCCAATATTTTTTTTTGTTTTTTTTTTTTCGTTTCCCTGTTATGCAATTGTTAATGTGTATGTATATTATTATTATTATAATATGATACTATTGTATATGTATTTTTTGTTTCGAGTATTATTCCAACTATCTGTTGCTCTGCACGAAAGTCTTGTTAGGTGCAACGCAGCTCCCTTTTCCATTCCGATTCCGATTTCGGTTTAACATTAATTATAAAACAATTGTTAACTCTTTCGAACATGCAGCTGCGCATTAAATATAAATATAAATACAAATATATATCCATATATCATATTGTGAAAATAAACCAATCTGTTTTACTGTATTTCAGTGCATATATAAGCAATGAATGTTCTTTCTGAGATCGACTGTCCCAGTATGGAATCTATCTTGATGAAACAGAATGTAGCCTTTTCAAGCTAAACTATCCAATGATATTAACAAATATTTAATTATCATGCTCTGAACCTATTTGAAAATTCAAATTAAAGTTCGATTCATAGTTTGTTAACTTTTTTAAGACAACTTTTCTATTTCTCAAAACCTTAATCAAACTCGACACGTCTCATACATGGGAAAACTTTAAATAGAATATATATATAATATAGGTGCCATGAAGAGATATATATGCTATACCAAATCCCACTCCAGCCCAATCTTATTATCATTGAACTACTATCTCTTTATGGAACTGTTTATCCTGATTGACTGACTGACTGCTTGACTGATTGACTGTTTGACTGAGTGACTGATAAACCGTAAGAGCTAGAAAGCTGAAGTTTTTACTTACCTTTGCCGTTTGTGATGATGTGCACGTAAAGAAGGGAAATTCGGGCGATTCCACTCGCATGTGTGGAAAATTCGTGAAACTTTTTTGGTTACGATTCGATTGGCCTTAAATTCTCTTCCCTTTGTCTTTGTTCAAATTCCTCTGATGAATTTTGGAAAATCCGTTCCTCCATGGTGGAAATGTGGGCCGAAGAAATCTTCGCTGGCCGACGTTTCGAGTTAAAATTTATTTCCGAAGATCTATGCGATCATCATTTGAGACGTGCTTCGCACATTTTACAGGGTCCAAGCTTCCTCTGTGGAAAATGCGATTCAAAGTAATTTTAGGCCAAGTTTTAAGTTTGCATATATGTATGTACATGTGTATCCATGCTTGTTTTGTATATTTGCAAACATGCACGCATACGGACATGTATATATAGACGTCCGCAAACCTACATATATACATACACACTTTCATACACAATACACATGCATGTATGTATTCATTTTTGCATATATGAATATATGCACGCAAGCGTATATGTTTGTATGCATGCTGCATATAAATGGATGTATGTTTGTTTGTATATATGCAAACATGCATATATACATACACTCATGCATGCATGCATACATACATACATACATACATACATGCATACATACATACATACATACATACATACATGCATACATACATACATATGTACATACATACATACACATGACATACATACATACATACACACATACATACATGCGTACACACTAACATATGTACATCTACATCTACATACATCTACATCTACATACATCTACATACATGGATCTACATACATATCTACTTACCCGCCATGCCTCCTCCTGCGCCGCCGCTTCCTGCTCCACCGCCTCCAGCTGCTCCTCCACCGGCCGTTGAAGCCAAAGTTTCCTGCCTTGTTGAATTTCAGCAAGGCCTGCATGAATTCTTGAGAATCGAGGAGGAGAGTACGTGGCAGTAGTTCGTTTTATTTAAATGTGCAGCACAGCGACAAATAAGCTTTGGCTGCGTTTGGTATTAGAAAACGAGCATGCAAACATGCATATATATGTACATAAATGCATGCATATATGCATGCATACACTAACACACACACATACACACATGCACGCTCGCAATACTTATATCCCTTCGCACAAATTACTTGTATTATATATGTAACTCTTCAGGCAGAATCCCTCGAAAAATGAATTTTAGCATTGGAAATATTGCTTGTTCCAGGAATTTCGGAATTAAGCTTAATGCACCGTCATTTAAGCCAGTAAAAGCAGGCAGTAATCCTTTTCTGGCTTAAATCACAGCCACAATTAATGGAAATTCCCTGTAATAATAATAGAATGAGCTTAGATATTAATTGCTTGGGTCAGCTGGGAATTGCAGCTTATTGAAATTGCGACTGCAACAGTGAAAATTCAAGGCCAATGCACAAATTACCTGTGACTAATGATTGCCTTTTGGTCACGTAGCGCGCAGCTTCTTTGTGTGGGAACAGAGTTCCAGGTGTTTCAAGGTTTCCAAGGTGCGCCCGTTTGAGTCACAAGGAGCTTGTGGCTAGACAATGGCAGCCTCTTATCCGTATTGCACGATCAAATAAGCAAATCACAAGCCGCAACAACAGACTCATTAGCATGGGCAAGTTGAAGAAGAAGAAGCAGAAGCAAAAGAAGAGGAGGAGGAGGAGGAGAAGGAAGAGAGTTGACTTATTGTCCAAGTGGCACGAATTACAGCTGTGTCTGTTCGATCCAAAGTTAATTATGCAAAGCGGCCGAACATGTCCATCTCGCATGTTGCGCCCGTTAGCCAGAGGGCGCCGCAGTCACACACACACACACACACACACACACACACACGCGCACGTACATGCACGCACACGTATATATCTCGTACATGGGTGTGCGTACGTGCGTCTTAGCTAGGCCGAACAGGTGGCAACACGTTCGAATCCAAAAAGAAAGCCGCGCTCAGCTGAGCCTCAAACCTTGTCTTCGACTCGAGTCGAGCTTCGGTTCGTTCGAATTGCCAATAACTCGAACGCGATGTCGTTTTCTCGGCGCAGTTGTGTTTCGCGTCTCCAACAAAAAAGTTGTTTTCACCTGGCATCCAACGGATAAGCTCTGCGCGCGCCAATCTAAATTATAACGATTCTGTTTTAAATTGTTGTTTTTTTTTTTTTTCAAATTCTTTGCCGTTATATTGCTGTGAACTATTTTGTTTTTTTTTTTTTTAATAAGTGCTTGTTGTTGCTGCTGCTGAGCTGCTGCGTGAGAGGCGTCAGGATAAAAGAAACGTGTAAATAGGTAAATTGCAAGAATTTCGAAGAATATTTAATTCGAATTTTAGAATTTTGGCTGACGAAGTGTGTAATGCGGCCAGCACCTTGGCCAACGATGCTAACGATGACCAGGAAACCCAGAAGCAGAAGCAGCAATGTCCAAATACACGTAAAAGTCGGCGAGAAATTGTGTCAACCAGTTTGCGTAGCTGTCGCCGTCGCAGTCAACGTCGCAGTCAACGTCGCGTCCGCTTCTGTTTGGTGTTCTGCTTAATGTTGTTATTGTTGTTGTTGTTGTTTCCGTTGCTGAGCAATTTATTTGAATTTGGCACTCGTTTTACTTTCTAGCATTGATCATCTTTAGGATATGTTATTCGTTTCCCCATTCGCCAATAAACTTCCTCTTTCTCTCTCTCTCTCTCTCTCTGACTCTATCTCGCTCGCTTTGGCTCTCTTTGGCTCTCACGCTCAATCGGATCCATGTCAGAGTCACAGTACATGTACAAGAACCTGCTATTCCATTGTGACCCAGCTGGGTCTTTAAAATGCCGTCGCAGCCCGCTCCAAGCCGACGCTCGTTCAACAATCTTGAAATTTCACCTCGCTGGCATTGAATGCGGTTACTTAAGCCGTATGCCGATAATCGGCCTATTCGACTTGATATCGTAATTTCTGGTATTACGATAGCTCACATCGATTCCAATTTTCACCCACAATGCGGAGTCAAAACCGGCGCCGGGCTTGTTAAAGAAAGTGACACGCAAATTATGCAAATTGCCCAGCTGTGTGTGTGTGTGTGTGTGTGTATGTGTGTGTGTGTGTGAGAGAGTTATGTAAGCCATGGCAGGATGTAAAAGTCCGTAAGGCTGTTTAGCATAATCGAAGCAGTCGTTTCGTAATCAGCGTCAGCTGAAAATAAGATTTTGGCATAACCAACAAAATTAATATATTATTTTAATTTTTTTTTTAAATGCATGTGATTTAAACAAACAAAAAAAAAAACACAAACAACCAAAAGGCGACACTTTCGCTGCGTGGACCGTGTAACAGTTTCAGATTTTCGGTTTCGGTTTCGATTTCGATTTCGAGTCTGAATTCGATAATTAAGGCGCCTTTGGCTTAAGCGCTGCAGACGGCGCATAATTAACAGTTTTCGGTTTCGATTTCGATTTCGATGTCGCTGATAAACTAGCCTGTGGCCCCGCCTTCGCCTGCTCGGCGCATCTCTTATGTTAACTTTGATTAAAGCTAATGTTATTGTTGTTGTTGTTGCTGCTTACTTTCTATTTTCCTATGCGATTAATAATTAATTAATGCTAATAACTTTTCACAACCGTTATAATTTATTGACAAAAATAGAAAATATGCGCCCTGACAACACAAATCAAGCAAACAAACAAAACTCACACACACACACACACACACACACACTCTCACAGTCACACGTGCTGTTGTTGTTTTTGGTTATGTTCCAAATACGTCAAATGCAAATGAATCTGATTATGAATATGAATATGAATATGAATACACTCACTTAAGGCTGTTACGTATTGGAATGCCAGTGAAATTATGTGCAGCAGTAAACAAGAAGAAGAAGAATAGCAGGAGGAGGAGGAGGAGGAGGAGGAGGCAGAGGCAGAGGCAGCATATGTCAAACCGCTTTCAATTGGGCCAATTGGGGAGAATGCAATTCGTTAGCAGAGTGCAGTAAACAAATATGGTTGCACTTAGTGCATCCGTGCACCCAACCGCCCACCCAATTGCTGGACAACACGCGCACGAATTCGAATATGAATATGTTTCGAATTCCAATTTGAATTTCAAGTCCAATTTGATTACCATGGCCATGGCCTTTTCGAT